CACTTCTCCTCCAAGCACCAGGAGCTGCTGGCGCGCCGCTGGGGCCAGCAGAAGGGCAACCGCAAGCGCATGACCTACCAGAAGCTGGCCCGCGCCCTGCGCAACTACGCCAAGACCGGCGAGATCCGCAAGGTCAAGCGCAAGCTCACCTACCAGTTTGACATTGCGCTGCTGCCGGCCGCCCGCCGGGCCTGAGCCGGGGCGCTCTCGGGGGGGCTCTCAGGGGCTCACCAGGCCGGTGTCACGTTGCTGTCCCCTCACCCTAGGTCATAGGACCCGTGGATCCCCCACACTGTGGGGGTGGGGGGCTGCCATAATCCCTAAGCCCTGCCCAGGGCCCCTCTGGGATTCCCGCGTCTCGTCCAGGGTCCCCAGGATCTTCATGGCTTGGGTCGCAGGACTATGTGTCTGTGTGGAGTGGGGCGGGCCGGTGCTTCCAGAACCCCGCGGGCTTCCCTGGGATCCCCAGCCAGGCTGGGGGGCCGTCTGTGATCCCACAATCCCATGGCGGGGCGCGGGTGAGCCCACAGATCTTCACACCAGGACGGGGAGCTGCCTGCAGCCCTAGGCCCCGTCCAAGGTCTGGGGAACCTCTGCTTCTGTGAGTCCCTCCTGTCAGATCTGACATCTCCTAGTTATGCCTGAGCCCCCCCCACCCCTGGGATCCCTTAACCATAGCTCAGACCTCTGTGCCCAGCTGTGACTCTGTCCTATCTGTCCCCCCAAATCCCTCGGTCATCTTTGGGATCCCCTAGTTCTTGGAACCGCCCTGCTACCACTTTTTTTGTGTGTCTGGAATTCTCCAGTCACAGCTGGGGAGGCTCAGGGATCCTTCCATCATGTCTGAAAATACTTGTCAGGTTTTGGGGGGGCGCACCTCATTGAACCTTGTCATGTCTGGGCCACCTCTGCCTGGGATTCTCCAACCATATCCGTGCCCCTGGCTGGGATTTCTACCTGACATCTCCCTATGGGGACCCCACTAGCAGCTGAGTCGTCATGGGAACCCTCCCGCTCCTGGGGTGTCCCCTGTAGTCACATTCTGCGAGTCATTCTGGCCACTGAGCTGATTTCTGGGTGATCTTGGCAGCCCCCCACATCATTTCTAACTGATGACAGACTCCTTACCCCACACCCAGGGGGCAAGTCAGGTCCCCCTCCCCCGCCCCTCCCCCCTGAGGGGTTTTCTTTAATTCAGGGTCACAGTTTTGTTTGTTTTTGGAGGGGCATCCAACAATGGAGGGAGATTTTGCAAAATCCTTCTCTTAAAACGTTGCACAATCCAGCGACCAGCTTTGGGGTGTGGCGGCTGGAGCAAGGCGGTGCTCCCTCGTGCTCCCCCCCCCAGCTCCCCATGGGCCCCTGTTCGCCACCAACCCCCTTGGCTGTCATACCCCGGTGGCTTCTCTCAGTTGCCTTGACCCTCGGCCACCTGCACTTTGACCCCTGGGTGAACCCAGCTGGGGTGAAGCCTGGATGGGCCATGGGTGGGTGTTCTGCTTGGAAGCCGGAGGCCAGGGCTGTGGCTGAGCCCGGAGTCCAGGCCTTGAGCCTCAGTGGCTGGGGGCCCTCGAGTCAAAGACGTGCTGCTTCTGGGCCTCAGTTGTCCCTTCTGTGAAAGGGGAGAGGAAGAGGAGGAAGATGATGACAGTCCCTCACAGCCCCGTGGACAGGCCTTTGACGCAGCTCCTGCAATCACCGCACCCCCACTGATGGCCGGAGGAGGCCGAGGGGGCGCATCAGGGGCCCAGAGAGAAGAGGTCCTTGCAGGGGCGCCGGGTGCTAGCAGAACAGCCACCCTGCCTTGGGGAGGGGCCAGAGCGGTGGGAGGGGGGGTGGCAAGATGTCCTCCCTGGGGCCTCCATTGCAGACGAGGTACCTTCTGCAGAAACCATCATCACCCCAAATGTGCAATGAAATAAAATAAAACAAATCAAGGTAGACGGGCCTCCTGGGACCCTCTGTCAGGGCCGGCGATGCTGGCGCACGGCCTGCTGGCCCTCGGGGACACCGGGACAGGGAGGGGGTAAGAGAGGAGACGGAAGAGGCACTGAGAGCCAGACCAGGCTGAGCCTTGCGGGCCAGGGTAAGGGGCTTGGGCTACAGGCACCGGTGGTTCCGTCCACTTTTTGTCCCTGTTTTCCTGACCAAGGGGCTCCTTCCCCGCCCGCTCCCTGCTGCCCTTTCCGTCTCTGGCCCCACCCTCCGCCCTCTCTGTCCTTCCTGGGACTCCTGTCCTCCCTCGCCAGCCGGGGAGCTGTGTGGTTGTCTGCCTGGTAACCCGTGACGCCACAGGAAGGCAGCCTCCGGATTGGCTTGGCGCTCCTTGGGGGCGGGAAGTTTCCGGCTCATAGGGGGTTTTGGAGACGGGAAGGGGGAGGGACTCGTCT